TTTCAAGCAATATTTTTCATGAATTTATATCGTTTGCTTTCCTTCTCAAATAGAGTTGTGGCTTCAGTTCAGTTGTAGTAGAGGTTTTTGCGTTTCAAAATCCGAACTATATAAATGTCTTTTTAAACTAATGGACAAAAACTGCTGATGGAATTGTAATTTATTAGACTTCTGAAAAAAAGCAATGGTTATCTATCTAGTTGATCTTTAAATTTTTTAACTGTTGACTTGTTTATCTTAAGATTGCTAAAATTTCCTTTCAAATTTTTATATGATGCTGAAAAAAGTGAAAAATTGTTCCATAGAAAATCCTTTTAGAGTTTTAGGCTCCATTAATAGACCTTCGCCAAGAATAGACAGAGTGAATAAAAAGAGAAGGCAAATTGGGTGCTATAACGTAAGTTATTTTTTAATGTAATTTTTTTTTAATATTACTTAGGTGAACATTTGCTAAAATGATTTCATTTTTCTTTGTGTATTAAAATTTTCATGCGACTGTTTCCATTAAACAATAAAAAAACATAAATATTTTCGTTTAGAATTTTTTTGTAGAGACCACTACAGCTCTCTAGATTGATTTACGGCTGATTGAAAGATTAAAATTACACTTTAATGAAAATTAAAATAAATGATTAAATGAAATCTTTCCATGAAGAAAGATTTTTTTTATACTTTCTTGTTTCCAAGTATATTATTCCTTGTTTCCATGTATTTCATCCATATTTATAAAACTAGACATTATGGTTGACATAACTTAAATCACTTGATTTTAAAGCAAAATATATATTTTTATTTAAATCAAGTGTAATTTTTTTTCTCAAAATCTTTAATTTAAACCAACTGATTTTTTTTATAAATAATTAATTCGAAAATATTTTTTTAAATATATTCTTTAGAATGTGAATCTCTTTTATGTCTTAATTAATCGATAATGAAGATTTTATCCAAATAAATATTGAATGGGTAAATTATTGACTAATAAATAAATTAAATTTATAAATTAAATAAATTAAAGTGTATAAGAGCAACGTTAAACAGGTTAATTTTAATTTATCATTGACTGTATGTTAAATAATTTTCTGATAATAAACATATTTCAATTATGCCCACTACATTAGTTGATTATTTGATTACATTACTACATTATTTGATTACTTAAAATGCTTTTAAAGCAGTTTGAATATGTTGTTAATGTTCACCAATATTGAAAAAAAAAACTTTTTCTGGTTAAAGAAAAATACAATATTTTTCTCTTTTTTCTTTCTTTCTTTAATTTTTTCTGCTCTAAACTAATATATTTTTCATGAGATATCCAACTGAAAAATTTCCTCACTGTCTTTAAAATTTTAGGATGTTTAGCTTGAAAAATATAACCGTGATTTTATATATTTTGTGATTAGTATGTTATAATTAATTAATAATTTTTAAAACATTTTAGCTATAGTATTGATTCTAAATAATATTAAGTAGGGGAGAGTGGGGTCAATTGTAATATTTTTTACTTAACTATTTTTAACTAACAAAAAATCCAATATATTATTAGTATTAATTAACAGACGAGTAAAGTAGACTATCCTCTACTAGAAAAAAAAATAAATACCTTATTTTAAGTGCTATATAGTTATTAACAATTTTTGACAGTCGATGCACTTGTTACAATAGTCCCCACTTACGGGGTTAATTGTAACAGTTCATAAATTCAACTAAAACATAGTTAATTATACATATTATAGTTGCGATCTATTTTTTTATTGATCAAAATAGTAATGATATTTTAGGAGTAAGAATTATAATGAGCAGAGACCTAAAGGATTAAACTTTTAACTTTAAGGGGTAAAATTTTTTTATTTATGCTGTGAAAGGTGACAAATAAAATAATGCACGTGCAACATAATATAAATGATATAGGAAACTATTGGTGGTTCTGAGTTAAGTAATGGTTTGTAAACATAAGATTATTTATTTTCAGCTGTTACAATCGTCCCTTTACTTATTGTTACAAACGTCCCCCAAACGCCTTTTCAGCTTCATTCGTTAAAAACAATGCTAGTTAATTAACAAAACATTTTTTTTATTGAAATGTTAATTAAGGTGTCCACTTACATATTCGGTTAATAATTCTTATTTGTTTAAGCAAAATTACTTTGTTACAATATAATATTCTAATACCAAAAAGAGTACTTACGTAGCGTGAAAATATCTTTTGTGATGTAACTCTTTCAAAAGTACATAAAATGGTTGCCAGCAAGGGTGTATTTGTAGATTTATTGAATACACCTTGTGCGCCACCTAGGAACCAAATCTAGAACCCGACACTCGAAATTTTTGCTCTGTTACAATCGTACCCTGTTACAATTGACCCCACTCTCCCCTACTGTTTGTATATTTTAGCAGATATGTAAGTATAAAGTATAAAAAAATTTAAAAAAAAGTTAAGTTTTACCAACTCAGATGGATATTCCCTATTAATCTTTCTAAACTAAAAAAATTATAAAATAAAATAAATGAATACGAATAAGTATTATACTATAATTTACTAAATAAATTGTTTTTAAGAAATTATCAATATCGGTATTTTTTTCTTTTTCTTAGAATTTATCATACAACAGAATTAAAGGAAAATTTAAAGGAGTAAAAAATAATTTATGAAAGAATATGAAGAAACTTTTTAAAATTCATTGTTATAACATCACAATGGAGCATATTTAATGCTAGTTCATGGTATCTGAATTATTATCAATTTCTACGAGTAATTTAAAATTACTGTATTAAACGTAACAAAATCTCATAGCTTCGTTATTCTTAACTGGAACAAGCAAACAATTATTTATAGTAAATTATTTACAAATGGCGTTGTAAATAATTTACCATAAATAAATTACAACCAATTAAAAAAGATACACTAACTCTTAAAAAAAAAAAAAAAAACTAACATTTCCAATCATTTTACATAGATCGGTATACTAATGATATACTAACTTTTATGAAACTGATCGTGACTTCGTTTATGATAGTTAGTTATGTTCGACAGTTAAAATTTTCAGTAGTTGTTTTTAAATATTATTCCTTTTCTCCTTTACTTTAGTGGGATAGGTGTAGATTTCATAATTTAAAAAGAACGATACATAAACGTCTTTCTTATTAAGCATCTGCATTAAAGCTTCTTAAAAAATGATTATCGATAATTTACCACATAAAAAATTTTTTTAAAAAATAATTAGCATTTTAAATAATTTACCATAGATCATTTACCATCAATTAAAAAAAAGATACACTACCTTATTTTCTTTAAAAAAATATAGTATTAAAAATTATTTACCATAGACATTAAAAAAATGACAATTTGAGTAATCCTTTATAAGATTTTTCTTTTCAAATTCTCCGAGTCAAAAAAATTCGGTGACACCTCATCCCTTACTGTTTAATATAGCTTCATTTCTAATTTACAATACAATCGTAACAAAACTTATTTTGTGTTTCATTCTTTGGAAAGCACAAGCAAAATAATGTTTCTTAGCTCAGACGCCTGTCAATTTGTTGAACCAAAGTATCTGTTTCTCTTTTTGGGTGGGTGTTTATTTTTCCTTTAAGAAAGTTCTCGAACATCATAGAAAAGGGAAAATAAATGGGGGAAAAAAACTTGAGTTTGAGAGAGCGAATTTCAGAGACAACAGAAATAAGTTCACAAACTTTGCTGATAGCCACAAAGAAACTTTTTTCATCAGCTAAAAGTATCAAATTTTGGAAGAGAACTCTTTTGAAAGTAGTTTCGCCTTTTTTCAATATGATTCAATCATTGAAATTTTGAAAGCTTGAAATTATTTAAATGTTCTGATTTCAGAATGTCTTAGAAAAAAATGTATATGTATTTTTAAGCTTAAATATTTTTTCGATTGTTGATTTTTGAAAGGCTAGAAGTTTGAAAGATTTTTCGATTTTCTTTATGTTTGGAAAATATGCAAATGGCCTGTGCTGAAAATTAAACATTAAATAAAAGTATAAAAAAAAACATTTCTGTGTAAAATAAACTTTATATATGAAAATTTATACATTCTAGCATTGTTCAATTTTTATTTTCTAAAAGGTAAAATTTTGAAACTTATTCTGTAAATTAAAAGAAAATAAACTCAAAAGTACACAGTTCAAATTCCAGTTTTTGTTTTAACTGGTTCAAACTCTATACCTTTTCTCGAATCTTTTTGCGAATATATAATATCAATAAGTTTTTATTGTCAAAATGATGCTTTACATGTTTATTATATTTTAGATATAATTTTTCGGTAAGTGAAGTTACCAGATATTTTCATACGGGTGGTTTGCAATAGTTTTTAACGTTTTTACACCTACATTTTTTTTTCAATAAAAAAGACTACTATCGAGGAAAAAAATAGCTTGAGTATTTTCTTCACACTGTGACATGAGAGCTGCGGTAGCTCATAAGACATAGCGGTCGCCTTTGAAGCGTCGACTGGTCGTACGAATGCTGCTCACTTCTTTTACCGATATTTTATAGAGTTTTTAGTTTATTTGTGAAAGTAATGAAGTTTGTTTGTTAAGATAACAGTACTTATCTGTTTAAAAAACAGCCGTCTGCTTTTAAATAACGATATTTTTCTGTGAACGAAACGGTTTTATACTGGCACACTAGGTAGCAGTTTCTTTCTGTAAATTAAATAGGCTTTGGTTTGTGTATTATGAAAAAAATTTGTTTTATTTGCTTATTTTAAAGTAGTCTTAAATTAATCGAACAAAGGAGTAGTTAATGAGAATGTGGTTGAAATTTGAAACTTGCATATTTGCAATTTTCAGGTGTTTCGAATTTAATCTCGGAAGCTTTACCTGAAAATAATTATCTCTTGCAGATATACATCATATTCAATTATGAAATATTTATTCTTTTTTTATTATTTAGTTTTGTACCTGAGAATTGCAATTTCATTTATAAAACAAAACTTTTTTTCTTCTTTTTGTAAATTACACGGAAGATAAACTAATCTGAGTCATCAGACAGATATATACTCTCTTTATTTATAAAAATATTTCAAATTATTTATTACCACATACATACAGTCGTACAAAATTCTCACTTGAAAATATTTACAATAAACTATTCTACCAAAGTAAAATGTATACAGTAAACAATTATTACATTTATCATTAAAAGGGATATCAATCCAGTGCAATTGTGGCTTGGGCCGCATGCATTCCTTAATATCATTTACGAGAAAATAATTTTACAAACTCACTTCGAGTTTGCTATGAAACATTTATATATAGTATAATTACAACAAAAAAAGTGATATTAAAATAAATGATCAAGAAAGTATATCTACATCTCAGGAAAAAAATTTAGAATTTTTCGTATCTCGGTTGTGCATTATTTACATCAATTGGAAACGAAAATGTTTAAGATATAAAATATAAATTGAAATAAATATAGGACTATTTCAAAATGTGAGTTGATATATTTTTTTGCTGCATTTAGTATAAAAATCTCTTGATTGAGTTATAAATATCAATTAATTTTCCATTTGAAGTTTCATTAATATATGTTTGAAATATTTCGTTTTCGTTTCCATAGATGAAACGTTTATTGAGCCTGAGGATTTTAATTTACGGTTACATATCGTAAACACGGTATTTTCATTAACAAGAAAATTGCACTAGGAGATTTAAGCGAAATTTATCAAATAAAAAATCGTATTATTGGTTTATAAACTTTGTGGAAGTGTCGACTCCATCGCAAAGTAATATCATAAAATAAAGTTGTTTCTTCAACACATATGATAATTTATGTAAAATAATAAAAAATTATATAAAAACTGCAATATCATCACTGAACAGTCAGAAGAAACATTCAGAAAGAATTTCAGATAAATTATTTTGCACAATATTGTGGAACAAAGATATTGTGGCTCAAAAATTTGTAAGTGTATATCTAAATCAGCTACAGTTAAAATTAAAATGTGAAAGAAAAATTTGTATAAAACACATTAAAAAACTATTTGAATGAATCTGTATTAAAAATCATATGTATTAATTAATGCAGTCTCAAATATTTCAAACTAAATGCATTATTAAAAATAAGTTACTTCTTCATTAACCTTCCAGCAGGCCATTACCTTCATACCAACTAGATATGCTATTGCCAATTGTGGAATTGTTTGGAGTATAAATATTAATGTCATATTGCATTAAGGTTAATAATTACTTAAAAAGAAAGCCACTAGAATTGAAAGTCAGAAAAGTAATTCATATCCAGGTCTTTTCTTACACAGGGTGTTCTGTAAAGACCATAGCTAATATGTATTTTTAGAATATTTATCAAAAATGCATACACATTGGAGAGGATGCTATTAAACCATAAAAAAAAAATATTAAAAAAAAATATAAAAAAATAAATAAAATAAAATTAAAAAAAACGCAGTCGAAATCAGACAAATCATAGTACAGGAAGACGAATGTGAGGAACAACAACATGAGAGGAGTTAAAAGCCGATTATTGGATACACCCTCAAGTATTAGCCTCCAATTAAACCTGTTTTGATGTTTATTACATACACCTTCCTCTACTGTAATTTTACAGATTTTAATATCCTTTTTTTCTCACTTAAATATTAACTTGTTACCTTCTATAAATAACTTTGTATATTTTCATTTAAATATTTTCAAAATACACATTAAGGGCAGTTTTTACGGAACGCTCTGTATGCAGGCCTACTGGAATGTTAATGCACGTTGATTTTTAAAACTAAACTCGCATTTAATTTTGAACAAGCAAGGATTCTACAAGAAATAATAATTTTTTCTCCTTCTAAATTTTAACATCTAAAGTATTGAAAACTTAATAATAGACAATTTTCTTTTTCAGTAGCTTCATCAGGACGGAACATCGCTTAAAAACCTGAAAAAAAGCATTTTTGAGCATATGTAATTCATAATAAATGAAACAATTGATCGCGAACCAAACTGGAGTATTTTCCTTAAAAATATTTAAAATTATGTCAATCATTATTTCTAATATTTTAATATAATTATAGCATATTATCTAATCTAAAAAAAATTCAAAAACAAAAATATCATGAAACGGACTGTGTTGGTAGTCGATATTTTTCCGTTTCTTCAGTACATTTCCCTTTAAAATTTCTGCCTTTGATATAGATTTTCCTTTTCTACTCTTTAATTCTCGTTTTCCCCCTCCACAAATTGTATCAGTGAAAAACGAAATGTTTCAAATCCGTTTCTCATTTAGTGTTTCCATTTGATTCAATTAATAAACTTTCGGATAAATAACATTTAATAATACTCCGGACAAAATACTGAAATTTTATAAAATTACTTTTTATAAAGAAATTTCTTCATTATAGTCAAATTTTAAGTTTTAGAATTCGTTAAAGAACAGCATAAAGAATTCACGATCCGAAAATCATGGTTTAAATTTATCAAATTAAGACAAAAAAATTAAAGAATAAATAGCAAATGTATTAAAGAAATAACTACGTTCCGTTCTGTGTTTACGTAATTTTATAATGAATCAAACGATTCGATAATGATAAAACGATTTCAAACAAAACTGCTTTCGAAATAATCAAAATTAAACTATTTTAAATTTTGTAAAGTTTTTTAATTTTTTTCTTTTATTTAATTTTTTATTATTTAATTATTTATTATCTAACTATTTAATTTTTTTATTATTTAATTATTTCATTTTTTATTTAATTTCATTTTATTTTTTATTTTATTTATTTCGTTCCTTTTGTTGTCCGAATTTTGAAAATTTCAATAAAACGTTTACTGTACTTCTTCATATTTTGATATCTTTGGTTATCAAATTGATTGTATATTACTTTTCTTAAGTAATAGGAGTTTAAACATCTGACGATATATCACTCAGTATTTTTTATATTTTTTTGCATTTTTATGATTTAAATTCTGAGGACATTTATATCTTTATAAATTGAAAGAGTATTAAAATAAAGTAAAAAATAGCATGAAAAATGAAATATACTTACGAAAATTAATATAAAGATGAAAACAAATGAGCGTCAGTGATAGAAAATTGCTTAGAAAATTTGTGGAAGCATAACTTATTTCTAAAAAGAACAAAAAATAATTATTTTAACTGTTATCGAATATACATGTTATTTCGTACTGACGGCAATTTCAATATATCCTCTTAAAATACTGGATGGAACTTAGAGTAATAAGTAAAAAAATAATGAAAACGGATAACATATTAATTTAGTGAAAGATGAAGCTCCAAGGCAATTCCAAATAACTGGCTAATACATTTTAGCCCAATTAGAAAAACTTTACTGCGGTTCATGTTATTCCCGACCTAAATTATGACTGGACATGGTTAGAAAATGCATTTACGTTTTCTTACCTATACAGTTTAAGGGCATGTGTGCATAGTTCATATTTCATTTCTTACAAGATTCTCTTATTCAGAATTTGTAATGCAAAGCAGTGGCTAATACTGAACCATAATAAAACTGCGTAGTTTACTTTTATTTTAATTTTGTGTATTAAAAGAACATTTTATTGTAGTGTGGTGCTAAATAAAAATTGAGCACTGAAATAACTTTCTCTATTGCACGGAAACTTGATAGTTCCATAGATTTTAAGTATGGTAATTAATTGCTATTTTTACACTCTATTGAACTATTGAGTTGTTTTAAATTGAAAATATGACAAAAAAAGCACTATCTCTGAATTAATTATTCCTTAAAAGATAGAGGTAATCATAGTCTAGAAAATGTGATCGCAGTAGTTTAAAGAAGACAGAGGTCTAAAGTTTATGCCTTCATAATGCTAACTTTATTGTATTTAATTTTACTCTTTGTAAGTAAGTAGAGTGTAGCGTATCTACCACTACAAAATTACAACTACAATTCACTAGTATATAAGACATGTTAACTCGACTCTATGTTGGGGTACCTTTTCATAGATGACGGTTGACATAGTCGATAACTCCGCCCCCCACATTGGTGACCCGGACGTGATGTGAACACACCTACCTCGGCAGTAACGCCCTCTTCGATATGAACTTGCCTATCTAGACAGTACCGCCTACTTCGATGGATGATCCACATTGAACAGTTGACTTGCTACTTGTGACTGCGACATTATCTACCTCCTCGCACTGTTGCTACTCAGTCTCGTCTCGATCACGCACAACGTCGGCTTGCATACTTGTGATTACTCGACTGCTAACGGCAACAGAGGAGCGACTACGACCGTGAAGTTAATACACCTCTCACATTCCGCACTCAAAAAATACGGTGATCTTAATACAGCTCTCCCGGCTTCTCACAAAACAGCAATGAATCAACTAGTGGTATTCGTTCATCGAATTCTATCACAGATATAATTCTGGTGGGGGAGTACTGTAGCGTATCTACCACTACAAAATTACAACTACAATTCACTAGTATATAAGACATGTTAACTCGATTCTATGTTGGGGTACCTTTTCATAGATGACGGTTGACATGGTCTGTAACAACTCTCCCCACATAGAGGTAATTTTAATTGAGAAATTTCAAGCTTAAATGTATAAATGGTGAAAATATTCAACCATTTTTTTTTAAATTACTGCTCGGGAGCTATTTGAACAATTCGTCTAAGTTTTGAATTTTCTTCTTTAAAGTAAGATAGTCTGAAGTGTTGCATTTTTATTTAGCTTCAATTGCTTCAAGTAAGCAAAAACATCTTTTGATTGTTTTCATATTTCATTTCAAAAATCTTGTAATAGTGTTTATAATACTGTACTTCGTAAAATTTTTATAATACTGTAGTTCATATTAAAGAACTATTTAAAAACCATAGAAAATCGTCATCTTCACTGAAGCAGAAAATAAGAGTCAATTGTTAACGAACATGCATGCAATTCCATCTCGAATTCTTGCACTCGAAAATTTTTCTAAGTTCAAACATTATTAATTAATTACAATACCTATCAAAACCTAAGACTTTAAAAAATTTAATCTATTAATAAAAGAATGAAGTGCATGAAAAATTTAATGTGAGAAATCTTTCCTAATTTTACGAACACCTCTTTTCTCTTCAATAATTTTTGTAGTTTTTAAATTAATAAAAATATTCTACAGAGCATATTTTTTACGTTAAATCTAACTTCGTTTCACTTGTCTCAAAATTTTTCAGTGTCAATTTGGTAGGGTTCGATTTTATTTGCTTTATTAGTTACTGACTGCTGCTTATCCACCAAATTCATATTACTTAGGATCTGTTTAGTCTAAATTTACGCCCATCAATACTCCTGCTATTAACATTGATTGTCGAAAGAAATTTATACAAATACATTGGTATTTTTTAATAAATTATTCAAACATAACAAAAAGTTCAGTATATTTCTTAAAAATTTTTTAGAGTGATTCTGAGATAGAAACGATTTGAATGTATCCACGCTCAAAAAAATGAAAACGACTGGAAAAAAGATTTAACTAATCGATCAAAATTATTTGTAAATTAAATATCTGGATTGCAACTGTCTAACTGATTTCCTAAAATTGACACGAAATTAAAGCCTTTAAAAATTTTGATAGCCTCACTAAACAACTGTCATCACTATTTATTTTTTTTAGAATGTGATTTCCTTGGACATATTGATAAAAAATTCTGTACTGTCGAATTCTGAATTATGTATTATTTGTGTTAAGATATCATTTTTTTACAACTGTAATTTCTAAATTATGTAGTTCTTATTAATGCAGACTAAATAATAGTGATAGAAATATAAATACTTACCTAATATTTTCACATCTTTGCTAACAATTTCAAAAGCTCCAGAAAATGATGCTATACATTTGATAGATGCTTTACCTTTAGTGAATAAACTTTTTGTTACTTTTAAGTAAAGTGAATTCGAAGATATTTGTAGGCTATTTCGCTTCATGGATACACCATGGTCACGTGTTTCGCCTTCAGCCACCTGTAATAAAATTTCTGAATTTAAAACATTTTCGGCTTGTTTTTCCAAGATAAGTTTTGCACAGCAACAAAAGTTAAAAATGAAAATTATTCATGTAAATATTCTTAAACGCTCATGAAGTTTTATTACGCTGTTCTTAAAGTTAACGTGTGGGTTTTGAAAGTTGGAAAAAGTTCAATGAAACAAAAATTTTTTTTTGGAAATTAAGTTTTGTAAAATCATTGGTATGACTTAAATTGCAGACGATACTTTTTTTTCCAAATATTTTAAAGATAGAATCGGTGATGTTTACTTGCTTAGAGCTCTCATTGATCAAAAAAGGAATTGATTGCATGTTCTTTAATACTTAATTACTTTTATTTGATATGTCAGATAAACTGAATGATCAACAGGAACGTCGTAGCATACACAGATTACGTTGCCAATTGAGTAATTTTTAAGTAATCTGTTACCACGTACTTATTTTTTTATATATATATTAATGCTTTTATTTTAAAAAAATGCTTAATAATTTTTTTTACAATGATGTATTTCTGTAAAATTAAGCAATCTAAAATCAATGATAGTTGAAATTAAATTTTTTTTTATTGATAAGCAGAATAAATGGGCAAATATAGTGCTAAATCGTTCTGGAGAACGATTAAAAATTGTCATACATATTCCCGCCGATAATGCACTAAAGAGAAAATTTAATAGCAAAATGAAACTAATTCATTCAAGAGAAGCATAGTAAATCGCAATACTATTATTGATGCCAATAGTGTTTAATTGAGTTTGGTAATAGGTTCGAACTTAAATAAAAATAAATATGTACCAAAAAGCAAAATTACTGAATAAATTGTACTAATCTGTTTAGGAGAAAAGTAAAAAATTAGCCATGCTATTATTTTTATTTCCAATGAGCTGCACAATCGGTCTTGCCGATGAGCAGACCTAGTGCTTTCTCCAGAGGTGGTATCCACTCTTTCAGGACCACCACAATGGGTGAGATACCGTTGGTCACGTTAATTTGGACGTCTAGTTTCTGCCACACTAGATGGCAGTACCGAGTCTCTATTTGGATGCTAAAGTGCACTAGGAATGTAATTTTGCTGGAAATGATAAGAGCCAATAAGGCACTCCAGGGATCTTTTACATGCCGCATAATCATACGACATGGCCGCTGAGGATTTTCTGCATCCCAAAAATTCGGTGGCTGGGCCGGGGATCGAACCCGCAGACTTGGGCTCAGAAGGCCAACGACAAACCTACTGCGCCCCCCAGCCATACTATTATTTATTTTGGAGCCATAGGTACTAATAAAACTATAAGATATGCACTGAAAAGCAAAATTAATGGGGAAATGGTTCGATATCGTTTAGATAAAATACAAAATTTGCCTTACTATTATTGACGCCAATGGTGCTTAATTAAATTTGGGAATAGACACTTTTGGTGAAAAGAACTTCAGATATTATGGTAATAGGAGTAATTTTAACAAGTGTCAAATAATCTAATATAGGTTCAACTAGTATATTTGGTACCGCTTAAAACTATATCAATACTGTACAGTTGTAGTGTAGATATTGCGGAAAAAGATTTTTTACGGGTCTTCGAAAGTGTTAGATATGAAAGAAATGTGATAAATTTTGACTATCAGTAGTTGGAATTGCGCAATGACATCATGTCAAGAGATACTGAATTCAGTTAATCATTATTTCGATGAGATAAACTACTAACGACCTACTTAGCTTAATCTAATAATGTAAAGTCACCGGCAATTACAAAAAATTGTAATAAAAATTGGAATTATTTTATCTTTATTAATTGCGTTGGTATACTGCCTTTCATTTATGTGTATGATTTTGTACTACTGATTTCGTAATAGATCCAGTACTGACTTATTGATTGTTTAATTTAGTTAGGTATACTGCTTAGGTTAGGTTAGGTATTACGGGTATTCAGTTAGTTGAGCTAATAAATAGAGCCAGTTCCCAGAATTCTATTATTGAAAATGAATCAGATCCAGACAGAAATTTATAGTATCATTCACTGAGCATTGTTACAACTGTTTTTTCTGAGCAATGAATTTAGGGGAGAGAAAAAAAAAATTAAATATATCCGAATACAAAATGTAGAGAAAAAAATATTATTGATTTTCTGTATTATTTCGTATCTGAACATTTCAATAAATGTATTCTAATTTCAAAATATTTAAAAATTTAAAAAACTTAAATAAAATTTAAATCTTCAATAAGATGTTTTTTTTATTATTGAGTGTGTAGTAATTGAAACTAGTATCTTTCTTATTATTTATGGAAGTCTTCGAGAAATGAATGGTTTGCCTTGCAAATCCATTCTGTGTTTTATTCACCAAGTTTTCAAAAGATAAGAAGTAGAAACTTTACGAACTCTCATTAAATATATAAAGTCTTTTGTCAATAGATAATACCAAATTGATTCTTTTATCCTTCTCGACTTTAAAGCTATTGTTCCATTAAGACGGAAAAAAACTATTCAGTTGCGATAATCGGCAGAGAAATTAGTAGTAACAAGGTGTGTTTCATATGCGATTCATTCCTATTGTATTTTTTTATATGTTCCATTAATAACTTCTAAATCTCAGTGGAAGCATTTTTTTAAAAAGTCATCAAATCTTCTCCGTCTAGTTATTACTAATTAAATAAACCGCTAATAAAATGGTTAGATCCATCTTAATTTAATGCAGTGCTTTGTAATCATAGCAAATAAATCTATTCTACAATAATCTATCTATTATAGAACCTTTGTTATGAATTTACATGGTAGACCGTAAAAATTAGTGTTTCAAAAGGGAATAAGTATAAATTTGTAATAAAATCTGACGAATTATTTTCGAGATTAATCGCGACTGAATGGAATAATTTATATTTTGAACCGGTTTCTGCAGTATATTTTGAACCGGTTTTTCCTTTTTACGTATTTAGACTCTAAAAAGTTAGTTCATATATACTCACTGGCTGTTCATTAACAAGCCAACTCAATTTGGCAGCAGGCTTTGACTCAGCAGATGTGCAATTCAGCGTTATATTTTCTCCAAACTCGTAACTCTTATCGCCACCACTAATTTGTGGGCCTTCAGATGGTAAAACTGTAAATGAAATACACAATAAGTTATAGCAATTAAATTGACACCTTAATAGCTTTAAATTAAAAAACAAGCTTTTTTTCATGCTGTTAGAAATTCCTCTGAAAAAAAATTTTAGTTAGCAATTCATTTAATTGTTATTTTATCATATTTAAACAAAAATGTCGGATAAGAGTAAATAAGATGGTATTCAAACTGTTAACAGTAAAGACCGTTTATTAACATCTTTCACTAATTACGGTTAAGCAACCAGAATTTTATCTCGCCAACTATGCCCACCTACAATGTAAAAAACTCCCAAAACATTTTTGAATATATGAGGCAGCTACGTTGCATGAAGTTCTCAAAAACGATTCTGCGTATTTCTAATACCTCTGAAACGGAATCGGAGTCAATTGGATTCAGTTTCGTGCTTTTGAAAATAAAAGAAATGTTCCTCAATTGATTGGAAACATGGTATTAACTGACAGAACGGGGGTTTGAGTCCCAGCGTTGACTACATTATTTCCTACATTCTTTTCAATGAAGGAAGAGTTTCTAGTGTCCTACACTCCCCAAGTTGTATTTGGTACACTCTAATGCCTATTATCTAACTAAAAGTCTAGCTCCAATGTCCAGTTGAATTCCTTTTTTACTTTATTGAAACCATGCTAGTTTTGGATTGTTGGTGTTATAACCATACTAGTTATAAACGGTCTCAAGTTAAAAAATGTTCTTTGCCGTTAACGTTTCGATTAGTTGAATGAACAGATAGCTGCCGGTTATTTTACCATAATTTTAGAATGAAAAAATTCTAACAGTGTAGTTTAGAACAGAAGATACATAATAATAACAGAGGATAATAAACAGAAGATTACACTTTTGGTTATCACATAAGCATGCATATAGGTTATTAGCAATATGTTATTTTATCTGAATAACACATAGATAATGAAAAAAAATCCTTTTCAGTTCCATTTCAACTTTACTTGCAATGCATGCCCAAATTGATTTAGTAAATATATATATACATGTATATGTGTATATGTGTATATATATATATATATATATATAAACTGCTGTTTGTTGAAAATGCAACACCCTGAAGGAATCATCAGAATCAAATGAAATTCGCAGCAAATGTCAATTATAGGATATTATGCAAATTAATAAAGTTTCAGAGCCATCGCGCGTGCGTGGCGCGCGCAGCGCCCTCTGAATTGATGCTGAAAGCGTATAAATAAAGTGCTGTAGCGGGACGTTGAAAATAGTCTATGATTATTTGTTAGTGGCAAACGTTTAGTGAGACCTGAGTATGCCTCCACGACGGAAGAATAAGAAATTCAAGCAACTTACGGAGTTTGAACGAGGGAGGATAATCGGCCTTCGAGAAGGAGGATTTTCCTATCGCGCAATAGCAGCTCGTATGCAGCGGAACAGTTCCACAGTGATGCGAGTTTGGAAGCAGTGGACCGACGAGCACCGAACAACTCGAAAAACAGG